AGTAAAAAAAATAGTTCAAGCAAATGCTTGAGGTAACATTTAATATATAACGCCACAGAACAAAGACAGACGAGTTTAAAAAACAGACGATAAATTTATTGTTAACAAACAAAAATGAAAGAATTACACACATTGAATCCTTTGTGTGTTAAATGATGGCCAATAACATGCATGTAAAAATAATCAATGCAAATGAAATATGCCTCTTTGACAATAAAAATTACAATGCTGCATAAGGTCCTCAGAAAAGGTAAACAACATAAAAATAAATGAAGAAAGGGGAAAATGCTTCTCTGAATAGTTTTCAAAGAATTGGTACAATTTTCGAAGCAAAGTTTGTGGTAGCAGCGAAGAACAGAGCAACCACACCAGCCGAAGAATTTTCTTTGATGTACGAGCGACTTTGATGTTCCTTTCAATTCTCGTCTGGTGGTCGCCAAATTTCTGTTGTTTTTCTTCTTTGAGCTTGCCGACGTGGTTTCATGCAACAGCTGTTCGTCGACTCTTCAAATTCAATTCCTAGTTTTCCTTTTATTCACTCAGATAGGCTCCAGGTTTTACTTCTCGGAATTTGGATGGAAACTTTTTGATTGGTCCCGAATGAAAAACAAACGCAGCTATTTTCCCACAAATCGAAATGTACAGAAAATATTTTTGAAATTCAAAAGATTAAGCAAGGTCCAAACGCAGCGTCTGTTTTCTCTTAGAAAAACAGACGATACACACTCAAGCAGATTAAATTTCTTATATTAGTATTCATGTAAAGCACAAATTTTATTATAACTTAATTACATACAATGATAGATCACATATAGGAGTACAATTCAAACTAAAAGAATTGGAAATAAATACAATGTATTTAAATACAAATTAGAGACATGTCATAATAGATCATTCCATCTTAAATAAATCAACAATGTGGCAATTTTTAACATCAACTTAAGATTTCTCTGGTTAAAATATTGGATAATTTTAACACATTCAACATTATGGATAAAAATTGGTAACTTTTATATGGTGTTTTTTCGAAAATTAGCATGAGCAATCAAAATCACGGATTTAGACGAAAAAAAAAAGACTGCAGAATGACGTCAAAGTTCGCGAGAATTTTTCATCTTTTAATAATCAGTTGGGCTTAGTTTAATTTGTCACGTATACAAATGAGGGTAGAAAAGTGAAAATGTTGATAAGATAGCGCGGGTCACAAAGCACTGCCCGGCACCTCTAATCAGCTTTGACCTCCCTAACGGTTGGGGGTGTTCGCGGGTAGTACGTACCGGTTCTGCCGAGTTAAAAAATATCCTCAGACCGGATAACTAACCCAGTCCGCTCAGACGGTCTACAATCGAGGATGTTTCCAAGTATCTCCCATGTCGCCTTGGCTGCCTAATCCTTCAAACTTAAAAACGAATCCTCTTTTCATTCGGCTATAACATAACTGTCTTCCAGCTTCTTCATTTCCAGTCAACTTTGATCTTCAAAAATTTAAATGCAATGTCAATCGTCGTCTCTCTAAATCCTGTTGTTTTATTGTCTCTTCTCTTTAATAATGATTTTTTTATTACACCCTTTCACTCTCAGTAGCCCTTTGCGTCTTAGTGGCTTTATCGCCTTGCTTGGTGTAAAATGAATTAAAGAAGTTTTTGTTCTCCCTTTTATCAAAAATTGTATGTTATCATCTCGGATTTAAATCAAGAAGAAAATCTCGCTTTCAAAAAAGAAGAAAATAAAACTTTGTTTCACAATTTAGATGATATACCTTGAATATGAAATCAGTTGAGTACATAAACAAAAATTCTAAAGTCAAAATTAAATCATAGAACAGCTTCTATAGTCGAAAGAAAGAAAAGAAACAAGTGAGGTCGGGGTTCGAGCCTAGGTGAAAAACCATGATTTTGAATGTTGATTTTCGAAACTAGCAACTCCTTCCCTAGTGAAATACTGGCGCAATATAATCTTTCTACCACATCTGGCCTTGTGTCATACTATATAAGTTGCTGCTCAATATTAATCGAAAACAAAAAAATTATCATCATCGGGCTTTTCGTCGTCATTGTGTAACAAAACTCGTGAGGCCGGCATTCAAAGTGTGGCGAAGACTCATAGAGAATTTATTGTTGGAATTATTAGTAGCACTAAATTTACTCGAAATAAGTATTCATAAAAATAATGCAGACAATGTTTTATAATGTAGGGCCTAAATTAATGAATGAGCGACGGTGTGTACGGTAGGGTTAGGGTTTCCAGCTCGATCATGTTATAACAAAGGACATAATAAAACATTAAGTTTTCATTTAATTCCTGTGGATAGACAATATAATTGAATACGACATAGCTTTCTTTTTACCTTCCAAGGCCAACAAAATACTGTCCTTTCCAATTAAGGACGGCGGGTAAACTTAGGTGAGCATGTAGTCACACGCAAAAATACATTCACATAAAATAATTTAAATTTTGTCACTTAAGTTCTGAAAATTTTATTGAAATAATTGGTTGAATTTTGTCCTGTCGTGTAGATTTATATAATCTGTGTTTTTCATTTCCCGTCTAAAATATTTTAATAACAATTTGTCAAATTTCGGCTATCGACCATCTCACCTTCCCTGATCTTTTGAAGAGGAGTTTCCTTGTTTCCTGTTTAGGATTGGGTTTCCGGTCCTTTCTAAAATCTCGTCATTCTCTTTCATACCCAGTAACTTCTTACGTTTTAGTAGAATTATCGCCTTGCTTGAACTGAATTGATTTTCAAAATTACCGTTGAACTTTTTGGTACAATTAAAAGATAATTCTATAATCGAATTTTTGGAAATTACATGCAAATCATCAATGGAAACATCTAATTGCTAAATACGCGGTGGATGTCATTAGAACGGTGGTGGGAGCAATTTTTCAAAGGTTTAGTTACTGAATGAGGAATAACCAAAACGGAGGTTGGAAATGGAATGGTGATCTTTATAGCATCAACAAAACACAATACTCGCCAGCGGCGTGTCGGAGTTAGCTCCTCCTCAGCTCCTTAACCTTTCACCAGGGGTCTCTCTCCCCTGGCTATAAATACTGGCTGACCCTTCGCCTCGGCCTTATGCCACCTCGCAGATGTGAGCTCTCACAGATACAGCGTTTCCCAAATTCTGGGAACACGCTAAGAACAATACACGTACGTACGAACACTCACCACAACACACACAATATTCGTAACACAAACTCTATGTAACTTTCCATGTGCTTGTAACTTGTACTTGTTGTTAATACATATATTTATTTGCATATAGTTATCGGTCTTGTTTGTTTTCTTTGTTTTCTTTGGACTTAATTAAACTGAACCGGCTAGCAGGAAATTTTAACTACGTTTATTCTACAATACATACTCATCATCGCCACGGTCCGCTACAAGCGTAAAGTAAGTAAACCCCTACTAGTGGTGGGCTACTTAGACAACATATTACCGCCACTTACAATAGTGTCCAACATATTTATGAGGATTGGGATATACCCATTAGTGTTCATAGGTACGGTATATAACAAGTTGTCGGGAAAGTATTCTCCCGGGAGTTTGTTTCACAAATTAACATTTCTGGGTAAGAAGCTGTGTGGAACTTACATTTTTATAGGGGGGAAGCAGTTGCACACAGATGGCGTTGCAGAGTTGTAAGGCTGACCGCGGTATTTTTTCGACGAGGATATATATGTACTAGTGCAAAAGAAATCTATGGGTGTATGTTGAGACCTAGAAAAGGTTACTGAATGAGGAATAACCAAAACGGAGTTTGAAAATGAAATGGTAATCTTTATAACATCAACAAAATACAATACTCGCCAGCGGCGTGAAGTAGGTAAACCACTGCTAATGGTGGACTACTTAGCATATTACCTCCACTTACGATAGTGTCCAACGTATTTACGAGAATTGGGAGATACCCATTAGGGTTTATAGGTACGGTATGTAACAGTTAGGGTTCAGGTTCAATAGGAACATTTCAAAAGAAGAAAGAATATGAATGCTTAAGATATTACTCCTTTGACATACTTTGACCCAAGGCACCCAGACATAATACCAGGGACAACTCTTCAGAAAATTGTTTTAATTGAACGGAAAAAAAATAAATAAATAAATAAAAAAATATTCTCGATGGCAGGAGATGTGCAGAAAAGTACCCACTTAAACAACTTTTCAAGTACAAATATCTCCGATTCATTGTAACGTGTACAGTTTGTAGGGGACCAAAGTGTATACTTTGTAGGGGACTTTTATATAGGAATAAAGTGACGGTAACGACACTTCAGTTTGAACATAGATTGCCAGAGAGTAAACACAGGTGATCCCATTATTGAATTAAGTAGACCGCGTGACAATAGAGGAAGCGCATAAGTAGAAAGTAGCTTGGCGTTTAATTGATCGCTATTTCTATTCTATCCTCTATTACTATTCGGATCTTCATTTCTAGTCTATCCTCTCTTACTATTCGGACCGCTATTCTCTACTCTATTCACTATACTATTTATCTATACGGATTACTATTCGGTGGTTACTATTCGAACATGTATTATCGAGCAAGTACTATTAGTGCGAGTGATATTCGAAGGCGTCTGACACCAGTATTGTTCAACGGCGCTACTATAATTTTATCTGCGATTACAAAGTCTCTACTACAGCGAGAATTACGAAGTGACAGCGAGTATTCGTTGACATCACAAAAGGACCAAGTTTGTAGGGGACTAATATGTACAGTTTGTAGGGGACGAATGTGTATAGTTTGTAGGGACCAAGGTTTAAATAGCCAGAAAATATTTTTAAATCGTAATAATTTTTTGGAGATAATAATGGTTTTCTGATGAAAGTCCTACTATTTAACCCATAACCGGGGGAGAAGCGGTGGATTCATACCTTTCCCAAGGGTATTTGCGCGTAAGTGAATGCAAAGAAGACAACGGGAATTGGAACTCGGCTCTCCGTTTTCCAATTCCGAGCTGTTATCCATTACACCACCTGCACACCCAAGCTTACAGTACCTGCTACTCCCAAGCGGTCACCCATCTAGGTACTGACCAGGATTGACGTTGCTTAACTTCGGTGTTCGTACGAGAGCCGGTGGTCCAACGTGATATGGTCGTAAGCCAAAAGAATCCCTGAGAAATATTCTTTAGTGTTTGCAGCTTTAAATTTGGCTTTAGGTCAAGTAAAAGGGTTTATGCAAAAGCTTTTAGCAAGGTACAATGAACTATTGAACAGCTAGGTAAGTTTGATTTATTTGGGAAAGATATTAAAATGATACATAATTTATGATGACAGTAAATTGCTTGCATGTGGATCGAAAATGAAATCAATAAATACGCAAAAATAGAAACGGGCGTAAGACAAGGATGTGTCTTCTCACCAGACTTATTCAATATTTACATTGAAACAATCCTGAGAGAATCCGAAGCTTTACTATGGGTGACCACAATTTTAACAGCATTAGTTATACATATGACACAGTGTTGATAGCAGACGCAAAATGAAACTGTAGGAACTCCTACAGAAGGCAGTAAAGGAAAGCGAGAAGAAAGGACTAAGCATCAATTATAAGAAGACAGAATGTTCGGTTGCCACATGCAAATTACAAATTGGAAATACGAAAATTAAACAAATGTAAAAATTTAAACATCTAAGAATTCTTTTAACAGAGGACGGAAAATGCGACACCAAAATCCGGTGGAGCATTGGGATAGTGAAAGATGCCTTCCAAAAGCTAAGCAAAGTATTTAAAAAGAAAATCGAAAATTTCCTTAGAAACGAAGAAAAAAAATTGAATTATTATGTAATATCACTCCTTCTATATGATAGTGAATGCTGGACAATCTCATCACATCTAGAGAAAAAACTTGAGGCAAGGGAAATATGATTCTGCAGAAGGACGCTGAGGATACCATGGACCGGACATGTTGATTGATTGATTGTTTGATTGATTCGTTTTCTACGACTTATCAACCGATTGCAGGTTGTTTAAAGCCAGTAAATATTTTTAGATTATAATAATTTCTTTTTTTTTTAGATAGTAATGCTTTTAGTGGTACAAGTCTTACTAATTATCTGGGTGGGAAGAGGTGGATTCAAACTTTACCTAAGGGTATTTGCCAGTAAGTAAAAAGAACGTACCCAAATGGAACTGGAATTCGGCTCTCCAGATCGAACATATGAACAACGACGAAGTTTTAGAGAAAACAGAAACAAAAAGGTCACTTATAGTTAACATCAAGAAGAGACAGTTGAAATTTCTAGAACACATAATGAGGAAAGAGAGCTTAGAAAATTTGATACTCACATGATAGATTGAAGGCAAGAGGGACAGAGGAAAACAACGCATAACCTACCTGGCGAGCTTGAGTAAATGGATGGCAGGACAAGATTTCGCGGAGATAACAAAAAGGCAAACGTGCTACAAAGGAGAGGAAATTGTAGGGAGCTGTGGTCGCTAACATCCTGAAAGAACACGGCATATAGAAAAAAAAAAAAGCTTATGTTGATTTTGAGGTGATTTTTATTATTTGCAGAATTATATAACGATGGATTTATATTTTTATTTGTTTTTCATTTATAATTAGACAATGACTCGCACCAAAAAGTGTTTATCGTATGTTTGTAGCAGTTTAAATCACATTTATTATGTTCGTTACTATGATTGTCTGTAAAAAATAATTTTATTTGTTCATCAAAAGCCATTATTATTATTAGTGTTTGTTTAATATGTTGGATATAATAATAACAGCACGATTTTTGGAAAGATTCTATTTCTTTTCCATTTTGACTTCAGAACAACGCGCACTGTTTTATACTGGTGGATAGGTCGCACTTCTTTTCACCAAAATTTCGATAAATATCAGGGGTGCGACCTCTCCACTCGACATCATAGAGGATCTCAAGTAGACTGTGCCGTATCAGTAGTCCAAGCGAGTACGCTGGGCTCGCTCGAGCATAAACGAGAGCAAAGGAGAAAATGACTTTTTCCGGACATTTCGATTTTACGCAATCGCCTCTTCCAACAGAATTGCGTCACACATCGAATAAAAGCGCTTGATCTTCTACTATTAACCATTTATTATCTGTTTTAAGACGAAAGGCTATCGTTTTCAAGTGATTTTAGGACGAAAGGCTATCGTTTTCAAGTGATTTTAGGACGAAAGGCTATCGTTTTCAAGTGATTTTAGGACGAAAGGCTATCGTTTTCAAGTGATTTTAGGACGAAAGGCTATCGTTTTCAAGTGATTTTAGGACGAAAGACTATCGTTTTCAAGTGATTTTAGGACGAAAGGCTATCATTTTCAAGTAATTTTATGACGAAAGACTATCATTTTCATGTGATTTTATGACGAAAGACTATCATTTTCAAGTGATTTTAGGACGAAAGGCTATCATTTTCAAGTGATTTTAGGACTGAAGCGATTACTGGTATCCAAATTTTTGTTTAAACAGTCGATAAGTAAATTCCACGCTATTACAACCAAACACTTCTTTAATATATGCAAGCAAAGTTTTAAAGCAAAGTTGAATATTTGAAAACATTTAACAAATATTAGTTATATTTACGTTGAAAAGGGGCCATGTAACTCCCCAGATTATAGTGAAACTTGTCAAATACCCACTTTGACAACCCCAAACTAAGGGTAAGACCTATCTACTGATGAGACCTATACGCACTCTGCATCAATGCTATTACTTCCCTTTTCACTGCATTCTTTTTCAAGGCGTCTCAGTTGCAGTTTCCTTATTGTTAATTTCACTTAAAGTCGTTTTCTGTTGCCATAGAAGGATATGACAACACAACTATGAAATTTAAACACAGGGATCAGAGTCACCTTCAATGGCAGTATAAACTTTTTATAAACCGCAAATAATGTCACATCCAGATTAATAAATGTTAAAGATTCTATAGTTCTTTTTGTCTCCTTTGTTTTCATTAAACTTTATCCAGTTTTTGGTTTTGGAATTCTTCATGCAGCCAGAATAATTAGCTTGGACCCGGTCTCTGATGAGGCGAGTAAACATTGCAAACACTGGCTACGGACATTCATTAATTTTGTGAACGCCCTAAAGTCTGAAAATCCGGACAGATCAAAATGTTTGACCTATTAATTAACATCGTTTCTCATTCTGTCTATGAAATTTAAACTTAAATTAAGGGAAAAAGAGGGACAGATAGGGCTTTAGGAACAGTATTTATCCAAACATCAGTGGGAAGGAAATGAAGCACAAGGTCGAATTTAAAGTCAGGGTCACACACGAACATGGAGTCAGAAGCCAAAATTAGACCAACCATCATCGCTTCTCTGCTTTTCCTTTGATTGAAACCAATTCACAAGTGGATGCTTTTGCGATGACTACAATCTTAACTTGTTCAAGTCTAGGGTCAACCGTTATCTTCCCCACATACCACCATAAACGGTGCCTCTTACACGATAACCCTCCACCTTAAGTGGCTCTTGAGCCATGTGCAGGTTGAACGTCACTGTAAAAAAATTCGCTCGGCATTTCCCCTTTTTGAAGGACGCCTCACTCTAGTCGCTTTCCGAAGGAGAAGTACTGCTCGAGGAAACAAGATCCCTGTATTAAACAATTCATTTTTTACCTCAAAGACGAAAGTTGATGTGCGGGTGGTATAATCAATAGCTGTAGAAATGAAAAATCGCAGGACCGAGTTCGAATTCTAGTCGAGTTCGTTAGATTTACTTACGTGTAAAAAAAACCTTGTGTATGCTATGAATTCATCTCCTCCCCCAGCTGTGGATTAAACAGTAGGACTTGTATTTGGAAAAATCAGTGTTATTATTAAAAAAAATCGTTAATGCAATATTCATTCGCAAAAAAGAAGAATTATTCCCACAATCAAAAAAAAAGTTTCAGTGTTAAATAACCAACAAAAGGTTGATAAGCTGTAAAAAAAAAAAAAAAAAAACAGAACAAAGACAGCATTCAGACGAAGCGATGATATTTAAATGAACGTCCGCTCGAACGGAATGCTTTTCCAAGGCCAAGTAAAAAGCGAGAGTTCGATGCCTATATGGGACAAGAAGCCAAAAATAGCTCAGCCGTCTCGAGTCTTCGCCTATAGGGAACACTAAGATTTTATATGGGACAAGAAGACAAAAAATCGCTCAAGCGTCTTGGTAGGCCCACCCCGCCCTCGGGAACATCGCAGTCACCAGTGATTGCCCTTACTCTCTCCCGAGGGTGAGAGACTGCTGGCATGTAGGACTGGAGATAATTAATTCTGGGCCTAAAAGACAAGATGCTAAGATTTTATATGGGACAATTAACCCAAAAAATCGCTCAACCGTCTCGGTTCCCCCAACCCCAGGGAACACCGCAGTCACCAGTGATTACCCTTACTCTCTCCTGAGGGACAGAGACTGCTGGCATCTAGGACTGGAGATAATTAATTCTGGGCCTAAAAGACAAGACTCTAAAGAAGCAATGAATGGTTTAAAGGTTTTATTCAGATTAATGTCGACTATTTTTCTAACCTTGAATTACGCCAATAGTTATTTGTAATGAATGACACGGTTCAATAGATGACAAGGTGGTAATCTCGTCACACGCACATAAAGAGAAAGATTTCAATTAAATAATATAGGTCAGTAGATAGAAGTAACTGGTTGAGCGTAAAGATATGTGTACTGTAAAGGTATACAATACAGTTCAGATGTTTGAAGAACCTCCGGAATTAGCAAGGGATGAACTTGACAGAAGAGTGTAAGAAAAAAAAAAAAAAAAAAAAAAAAAAAAATGAAAAAAAAAAAAAAAAAAAAAAGCTGTCAGAGTCATCGAAAAAAGAATGAAATCACTTATCAAAATTATACTTTGAGAAAATTTGTGCTGCAGTAATCATAGCTAAAGGAGGATATTTTGACAAGAGCAAAATTTAATCATAAAATGCTTTTTTATTTTATCATAATAAAATTTCATAATAAAAAATCATGTTTTATTTTTAAACCATGTGTAATAATTTTCTCTTATTTAAAGTACAAAACAACTACTTTGGGGGCTAATTTAAAAAAAAAAATTACCAGGGTGGCTTCAAACTTTTCATCTGGAGTATATATATATATATATATATATATATATATATATATATATATA